CCTACATACACAACTATTTTGGTTGTCCAGCTCCAAAGAGCTTTGACATATACCAGAATTTAAAGAACAAGAACCCAAGCTGATCTTCTTTAAACATTGCGGACATGAGGGTGCTACGTGCAAAGACAGGAAAACACTAACACAATACGCTTTACACGGCAGTGCGTGAGGTTGCACGCAGGCAAGAGAAGCACGTGCGCAATCAATACAACCCAAACTCCGCTCATCACTGTCACTGCAAACAGCCAAGAGCTCCACTCCACAATCTGCTTCCCTCCTCAGAGAGGATGTGAATAACACACACCGCAGGAATAGCCTGTGAGCAGTCTGAGAAGAGATGCTTTCGCGTATAATTCCCAATACCAAACTATTTTGAAACTTTGAGAGATTCTGACCTATAGATTTAGTTCTGGAGTTGTTTTTAAATGAACGCGTGCAATTAAGAGACACATCCTGCACTCTGCTCCAGCTGTCTTTATGTTTCCTTTGCAAAAGTAAATACAGAGGGAAACGAGCTTTAATACGGCCTTACCAGAATGGCTCTGTGGCACTGCTTCTAAGTCCACAAGATGGGATTCAGCAAAAATAAAATGCCTGGAAGATCAGAAATTATAAGAGAAGCACCTCTCCAGGAGCTGAGACAAGACAACAGGTTTCATCTCTCAGCACTCTAATTGTCCTTCCCTGGAGAGGCACTGCAGCACCGGGGAATGAGTCTGAGCAGTTTGGCAGGGACTTGGGACATGGGACAAGCGGGAAGCCCAGCGCCCTGCTGGTGACACGGAAGGATAAGCCCCCTCTCCCAGGTTCCTGTGCCTGCTCCTTGGGAAGCCTGTAGGTGCACTAGAGAGACCTGCTCTGCTATCCATCACAGCTGTGCCACAAACAGGGCTCTCAGATCTTCTCGTCTCAAGAACCATTGTCAGTAAAGCCAAAGATAAACATGAACTAAACATTGTAAGAAAACATAGTTGTACCGAGACTACTGTAGTAAGGGGAAATGCTGCTCTAAAGAAGAGGGGCAATGCTTTTACAGGGACAAGTGATTAAATGCAGCATAGGCTGGAGTAAAATCTACAGAAAAAGGTTCAGAAAACAGAACAGTCTTCAACAGCAGTGTGAAATAACATCATTAAGGCTGCTTGGCACAAGGCAGAGAATGAGGTGAAAGCAATGAGGTGTATCTTAACTTTTTTTTTTAATTATTTTTTTTCTTTCTTTTCTACTTTTGGGTGTTTTGGGTTTCTTTTTTCTTCAGAAGTTTGTTTTCCAGAAGATACTGCTGGGCAACCTTACCTCTGTATTAATCCTCTGCCCACCCTCCCCGCAAAATCAGACCCCAAACCTGAATTAATCTTTTTTAAACGCAACGGAAACATTTCGTATAACAGCAAGCAACTGTTTTGGCAACTGTATATTTTAGACAGGCCTGAAGCACAGATGCTTTTCTTTGGGTAGCCATAACAGCATTGGAACCAAAGCATTCCTCTCACATTGTTAGACTACGTGCAGCTGTGATCATATTTGTTTGCAGTGCAGACACATAATAGGATCGTCAGGTGAAACCAAAGACACAGCCTGTGTCTGAGATCTGGACATTTTCATTAAGCACAGCCACAGTAACTCTAAGACAGCAAGTAAAGAACTGAGCACATTCCCTCCATTTCCACTGTCTGCAGCATCTTCCCCCTCCTTCTGGAGGGACATCGGAGATTTCCAAGCACAGGGAAGGCACTCCTGCCTGTCAGACACGCTCTGCTACTTTCTGTGGCTCCTCATGGGCAGCCTCTGACCAAGGGGCATACAGGCCAAAAACACACACCAAATTGCTCCTGCACCTGCCTGAATTTCAGAATACTATTAGCAAACTTTGATGAAGCAACACCCTTTCTTCCCTGAGTTGCCCAGCCACAGGATGAACAGAATCAGGAAACCAACGTGGGTTAAAAATACCCATTTTTTGCTGGTTCCCTGCACGACTTCAGAAACAGCTGTTCCAGCAGAACTGATGGGACAGTGCAGAGTTCAGGTAAGTGAGAACTGCTTCCAAAAAACCTTGGTATTCTTAGAGGTGTGAAGCATCCCACATGCTTCAAGGAGATCTTACCAGCCAAATAAGAACATAACAAAGATGAAAGGCAGCCAAAGACACTCAGTCCTACAGGGAGTGTCCCGTTCTCTGGAAGAGGTTCTTGCATTCTGTAACACAAGAAGTGCAACAGTCTCTATTTCATAATTATTCCAGAGAGTAAAAAAATGAAACTAAAAATCAGATTTGTCTAAAAATTACTTAGCGGCTTTTACAGAGATTATCATCCAGAAATCAGGAGGACAGGAATGACGAAGGGTAGTCTGTTTCCGTGACTCTCTGGGACAGCAAATCAAGACTCAGAAAGAATCAGTATTTAAAATGTTAATTGCCACTGCTGGCTTGCAAAAGTCTTGGAAGAAAATGGGGCACCGAGTGTAAGTATACTTGTTTTGAATACTCGTCAGAAATATTAAGCATCCTTTCCTCTTGCAAGAGCAGGAAAAGCAGAAGTGTTCAGTTTCTCTTCCCCGAAGACACTCCTAGTTACGTTTACAGCTTCAGATTTCAGTTTCCCTTTTTTTGCAGCAAGGGGTTTAATCTATTCTAATCCGATCTAACCATCAAGCAGAAATTCTCCCACCTGACAATCAGTTCTGGCTGTTTTCCAAAGATCCTGTCCTACAGCACACAGCCCACGTGCCAGCACAGCAGCTGACAGTTTGCCTTCCTCAGGCAAAGCAGCTGGACACACGAGGGGAACTTCGTGACCGCTGTCCTTTGGAACATGTTACTCTTGTCATGGACACAGTTAAGACTGCAAAATTGCAAGTTTTGTTGGAAGAGTAAATAAAAAATGAGAGGCTGTCATTAGAGCTGCAGAAAGCAGCTAACACTCAGCTAGAAGCAAGACCAACGTGATTCTGAGCTTGTGGGTCAAAGTCCAGAAACGCGTTGGCTTAGACTTGCACTAAACTGCAAGCAAGCATTTCCCATTAACTCACCAAACCTTAGCACCCACTGACCCACATATCACAGTGAGGGCAGACTATTTCTGTCAATATTGTCTCATACGCCCAGCACCTATCAGTCCACCCCGCCCCGAGATGCTTTCCAGACTAAAATGTCTCTAATCAGAGCTTTTCCAGCAAGACAACAGGCACTTCCTCAAGACACGGAGAGCATCACACAGTCCTGCTCCCAACCACGAGCTCTTTGAGTCTCTGGGCAAGCTGCAGCACGGCAATCATTAGGATCCAACGCTGCGCCCAGGTCTGCTCGAGGACAGCGTGCAGCAGAGGTGGCTCTGCCCCGGAGCACCCCCCTTCCTTCGCACCCCTCAAGTTAAAGGCTTAGCTTCGCAGCTTTCCCCAAGGAAGCCCAAGAGACTCGGGGAGCTCAGAGGAGC